GAGAGAGAGAGAGAGAGAGAGAGAGAGAGAGAGAGAGAGAGAGAGAGAGAGAGAGAGAGAGAGAGAGAGAGAGTGAGTGAAAGTATGTGTCACTGCGTCCTCTCATTGCCAATTTGTGGGAACATACACTGTCGGCTGAAGTGGCTCCAGTCCTCTCCGGTGCTATCCCTCTTCCTCTCTCCCCCTTGCCATTCTCTGGGATAGACATTGTAAACAGTTTCTAGCAGATCATGATCATTATCGTACCATTATTGCCGATCTCACTAATAAACGATCGGCCGAATAGTGATCGTGAGGGCGCCTTTCGCTCCTAATAAGCACATTCTTCCTTTCAGTGGCAGCCGCACTGCCTGCCGTCTGTCTTGGCTTACCATAGCCCTCTCCCTCTCCCTCTCCCTCGGCTCGTCTCCTAATTGAGTTGTAATTGTAATTGACAGAGCAAACTTGGACTGCGAGCACTTTCACTGTCAGCTCCCCAGCAGATCGTTATATGAGAGAAATCAATAAAACTGGGAATCATTCCAGGCAGGCAGGCAGGTAAGGCTTGGACGCCTTCAAAGAGGTGAGAGCCACTGCGGTAAGAAGGCGGCGAGGTGGGCTTCCACTGGGCCTTCAGTGCGCACCGTCTTCAAGGTGAGCTGCTGTCTACAGCTGAGCCATATAGCGGAGCCGGAAGAGTGCCCCCACCCTCGCTGTTTGTCGTTTGCTGCTGCTGCTGCTGCGGCACTCACTGCCTTCCAAGACGGCGCACTGAGGAGACTGATTGCCTGGACGGAGAGGGGAGGGGAAAGAAGGCAGCTGGCAGCTGTGGAGGGACACTCTGCCTGAGCCGAGCCGTCTGTGGCCGGCAATCACCCTTCAATGTATTAATCAATAAACGGTCAATTAAACTTGCCACCGGTAAGTGAGATCTGATTGCGGCGGCGACGGCCACCACTGCCGCCTGTCTGCCTAACCTCCCTTCCCTGCCGCCGTCCTTGTCCATTGCCACTGGCTAGTTCCATTCAGACGGCAGCAGTCGTACTGCGGTGAATAGTCAGCGAGACAACCCTCAGTGGGCGCCTCCGCGGGTCTGCCAAGTACGGCACTTCTTAGCACTTCCATTGCTCTTCCATGCCAACTTGCTACACTGTGGCTGCTCTCTCTCTCTCTCTCTCTCTCTCTCTCTCTCTCTCTCTCTCACT